GGATGCACCCTGGCACAGGCAGGATGCAGAGGGGTGGATGGACAGATGGACACACAGGCTGATGTGGATGGAGGGGTTGATCGAGGCATGGGCAGTACATGCCCAGACTGCAGGAGGAAAACCTTGCTTTCCATGTGAAGGGAGGACACTGGAGTCAGCAGGGGATGGATGGGGCAGCAGCAGCGTTTGGCTCTGAACTCACTTTAAAGCCCCACTTCTCATCACCATCCCTTGTGCAGGTGCCCAGGGATAATAATTTGGGGATAGACTATTTCACCGGATTAGAGAAGAGGTGAAGCACCCTGAACTCTGCCCCAGCACCACTCACAGGACAGGTGAGAGGCTGGAGGTGAGCTGGTGGGTTTGGGATGGAGCTGAGCTGGTGGGTTTGGGATGGAGGTGAGCTGGTGGGTGTGGGGATGGAGGTGAGCTGGTGGGTTTGGGATGGAGCTGAGCTGGTGGGTGTGGGGATGGAGCTGAGCTGGTGGGTGTGGGGATGGAGGTGAGCTGGTGGGTGTGAGGATGGTGGCCTCACCCCGGCTGAGACATTTTCTGCTCCGTCATCCTGAGTTTTCTGCTCTGTTTTGCCAGACTGTTCCGGGGAAGGCGGCTGTGCCTCACAGCGCGTTCCCCCAATGCCATCTAGTGTCTGCTCCGGCGGCCCCGGACAGTTATTTTAAGGCATCTGAGCTGATTTATTGCAGAAGGCTCTTTGAGGGCCAACAGGCTGCCCGGGCTGATTATTAACAGCAACACGGATAACTACTCAGTGGATGCGCAGGCTGGGCTGGATTATTTTTATTATCGCTCCCGTTTCGCACTAAAAGCCCACCCCGGCAGGATGGAGTGTGAGGATGCAGTGCCTCCTCCGGGGTGATTAAAGTCTTTCAGCCTTCAGCCACCAGTCTTGTAGCCCCGACATCACCTGAGGCTTAATCACTCAGAAAAGTGCTGTCATGTCCTATTGTCGCCGTATTGGGAGCGCGACCTCTTTCCCATTTAGCTGCCATCTCAAAATAATGTAACTTGCCGGGGGACAGGCGTGACTCAGGAGACTGGTAATGGGATATAAAGACTCTGACCTGCGGGTCGCCCATTCGGATGCTGCCAAGGTCAGCGGGAAGGACAGAGATGTCATTTGTACGGTGATTATTTGGCCAAACAACCCAAACCAGGCGTTAAGGGGCCCATCAGCGGCAGTCAGCGGGTCTGAGGGCTGGGTTGGATTCTGCTCCTACTGGGAGAGCATCCAAGTTCCTCAACCCCTCCCCGAGTTTTGGGACTGTGTGACTGCCCGCGGCCCCCTCCAGCTAAGGAGTTCTTCCTTTCTTCCTTTGCCTCCATTGCAGGGGCAGGGGCTGCATAGGCTGAGACACTCTTATTTCAGCCTTTTTAGGGGAAAAGTGCCACAGCAGCATCTCCCCCCTGTGCCCCACTCATCTGCTCCCAGTGCAGAGAAAGGTTTCTCAGCCCTGGCCCTTGCTCTGCTCCCCACCATCAGCTGCCATGATTTAGGTCCCTGAGAACCTCATCTCCATCCCCAGCCACCGCTGACCACGTGAATTTATCTCCTCGGTAGCAAACCACCTCATCGAGGCAGTTTGAGTGTGTGATTAATTAAGGTCTCCCTAGGAATGAGGTTACTCCCTGCAGCCTCAGGTATAAATCCATGATTAATGGGTGCTGGGTCAGGCAGGGTTTGCCTGCTCTCATCCAAACAGGCCACGAACACGGGTTTTCCTGGAAAAGCTTCCAAACAATCCCGTGGGATGGGGAGTGCAGCTGGCAGCACGGTGGGCAGCCACGGGGCTGGGGAGGGGAGGTACCAGGGCTGAGCTGGGCACTGCAGAGACAGTTCGACCCCAACATCCAGGAGTGCTCACACCACTCTCCCGGCGGCTGAGCCAACATCCAGCCTGCTCTGTGTGTTTAATTTTCACTAATCTGTTTGGGTTCTCTTAATTATCTGCAAACAAACAAGGTGCCTTCCTCTCGGAATAACCGCGGTGCTGGGGACAGGGAGCAGCAGGTGGCGAGGCTGTGCCGACAGCCCTTCCCTGCCGCTCACCCCACTCCAGAACTTCACCCAGGACCTGTTTGTGTGTCTCTATCCAGCGTCAGTAGTGGGGTCTCGCCCTGCCAAGCAGCATCTGCGTGCAGCATCTCCAGCAGCAGCAGCAATTCCTGCTGAGCTGGTGTGGAAAAGCCTTCGCAGTCACTGTGTGCTCCGGAGCTGGAGAAGGCTTTAAACACGAGGCTCTTAAATAAGATGAAAACAGCCCTTCCTTTCTGCTCTTTCATGCTGCCAGAGCCCTCGGGTCGTGTCAGGGCCTGGCTCTCCGTGGGCTGACAGGTTTCCTAACTCCCCTCCCTGCACCGTCAGCACAGGATCAGGAACAGCAAATTCCAGTTGCAGCAGCTGGAGGAGGTGGAAGCCCAGCACCAGCCAGTGCCTCTCGGGAACAGCCCCTGGCTTTGTCCCCCCAAACATCCTCAGGAGCATCAGTGAGCTGGAGAAAACCCTGTGCAGCAGGAAAATGTGTCTGGTCCCGTTTACCTGCTGCCTCCTCCAGAGCTGGCTGTGCTGTTTGATTCATGTCAGCAGCTTGGCTGGTGACTGCGGGATGAATGACGCTATATAAATGCAAAGTGTTATTAATATTTCATGTTGTAGTAAAAATGTACTAATAGGGCTTGTTCCTGGAAGATAAAGTGCTGCCATTAATACACCTCCGTGTCCCCAGCACCGGGGACTCACCTGTGGAGGGGTGGAGGGGCTCTACCTGGAGCAGAAAATGCCCATCTCACCTGGCAGCTCCCCAAAAGAGGGGATTTTAACCCAGAAAGCTGCAAAAGCCACTTCAGACACCCATAAAATCAGGGGCACGTGGGGCAGAACATCCCTCCACCCACTGCTGGGTGCTGCTGGGTGGGGGCTGCTCTGGGCCCTCCCTGGGGGCTGCCCATGGGGGACACAGCCCCTGGGAAATCCCTTCACGGCACAGCCACTACACAGGCATGTTAAAAAAAAATAAAAACGGGCTTGTTTGATTTCAAACTGCAGAACTCTTCCCTGGAGCCATCCGCAAACACTGGTAATTTACTTTACAGCTGTTTAGATTTGTTTCTCTGCGGTTTTTGTTTTTTTTTTTTTTAAACCCCAGCAGAATTGCAAATGAAACGTGTGTTTGCTCCTCAAATGACTCCGGCAGCACCTGAACTCCTGCACCCCACACCTTCTCCTTGGAACCACACCTGCTCCTTGGACCCCCACCCCCTCTGACCCCCATCCCTGTGCCCCACAGCCATGAGACAGGGGCTGGACCTCAAAGAGGGGGGTTCTCTGAGCTGGGGACTTGTCCTGGGAGGGCTCCATGCTCTGGCATCAGGGAGGGGTGATGGGGAAGAGGCTTGTGCCAGCTTGCAGGTAAGGGGAGCATAGATAAGCAGCTTATTAATTCCCAGTAAAATAATCAGATACCACCCACTTGTCAGAGGGTGGGGAGGGATAAAGGCTCTCCTAAAGTATTGCCATGGTGTGAAGTTTGAGTAAAGAAAGGATTACAAAGGGAGGTGTTTGACTAGGCAGCTCCTGGTGCCACAGGCAGGGGCTCCCAGGGCTTTGGCCGTGTTGGAGCAAGGGCAGATGGGTGCAGGGAAGGGATGGAGGGACCCCAGGTTGTACTGGGCACCCCAACACCCCTGCAGCATCTGAGAACACACAGCCCTTCCCTGCACAGCACCAGGGTCAGGCCCCTCACACTGTGGGGCCACCCTTCGCCTCGGGAAATCGGGCAGCTTATGGGACACGTGGGGATCTGCCTCGAGCCTCATCCCTTCCCCCTGGGAATCTCCTCCTCGCTCCCAGGAGCCCGGGAATGACTCATGTGGTGCCTCTTGCACAGGTGATGCGTTCCTGCCAAGAGCAAGCAACGACCTGCAGCAGCACCGGCCTCGGCGAGGGACACCTCGGGTGAGTGGTGTGGGGACCCTGCTCTGCCCCAGGGACGTGGGGCTGGGGCTGGGGGAGTGCATCTGCCCACCCTGACCCCGGAGTGATGGGCTCATCCTGCGCTGCTGCCGGAAGCGTGCACGGAGGAGGAGGAATCAGGGGTTTGTGTGTGTCCCCAGGGATCCACCGGGAGAGATGGGACCCAGCGGCTCCCACAGCAGGGCCGTGCACTGGGACGTCTGTGTGAGCAGGAGCACGGGCTGGGCCGGGCTGCAAAGAGCAGGGGATGTGTTCACCCCTGAGAGCCCCTCGGCGAGGGGGAATCTGATTGTTGTTTTCCTGATAATGAAATATTTAAGGAGAGTCGGTGCCAAATGCAGCCCCAGGGGCCCCGCTCGGTGCGGGGTGTGTTCCTCCAGCACGGCCCAGACCAGGCTCAGATCAGCCACGCAGGGGCTGGGGCTGGTGAGCACTGGTGGCCACCCAGCCCTGGGTCAGCTCCTCGGCATTGCAGGGGCCGTGCAGCCCCCCCCAGCCCACCCAGTGCCTCTGCTCTGACACGGGGCACAGTCGGAGCAGGGCTGGGGAGGGCAGAGGCACCGGCAGATTCCAGCGGTGGGAGAGGACGTGGCCGGGTGAGTCACGGCCCGCCTGCTCCTCGTTGTTGTCCGCCCGGGCCAGGCCTGGCAACGTAAGGAAAATTAATAACAAATACCTGGGCAACGAGGCAGGAGCTGGGGCGGGCGGTGCAGGATGGGGGCTGAGCCATGGGCCAGAGCTGGTGGTGGCTGGAGGATGCCGTGGCTGCTGCAGAACCCCAGGCTTTGCCAGGTCCCCCTCTCTCCAAATTGGGGGACTGTGCTTGGTGGAGACACATCACCTGGACCAGGTCTGTGCTGGGGCACATGTTGGTGGGGTCCCTGCATGTGATCGTGGGCCAGAGAGGGTCCCAGGAGCTGTGCCTTGGGGCACAAAGGGGCTCTAGTGGGGGCCTCTCGCTGCTCCCTGGTGACACAGTGTCTTCCCTCTTCCCTGGCCAGCTAACGGGACCGGGGAGCCATGAACTGGAGCACGTTCGAGGGGCTCCTCAGCGGGGTCAACAAGTACTCCACAGCCTTCGGCCGCGTCTGGCTCTCCCTCGTCTTCATCTTCCGCCTGCTGGTCTACGTGGTGGCGGCCGAGCGGGTCTGGAGCGACGACCACAAGGACTTTGACTGCAACACTCTGCAGCCGGGCTGCACCAACGTCTGCTTCGACCACTTCTTCCCCGTGTCCCACATCCGCCTCTGGGCCCTGCAGCTCATCCTGGTGACGTGTCCGTCCCTCCTGGTCATCATGCACGTGGCCTACCGGGAGGCCAAGGCGCAGCGGCTGCGCGAGGCCGGAGGGGACGGCTGCCACCGCCATCTCTTCGCCAACCCCGGCAAGAAGCGGGGCGGGCTGTGGTGGACGTACCTGCTCAGCCTCATCTTCAAGGCCGGCGTGGATGTGGTCTTCCTCTACATCTTCTACCGCCTCTACAGGAACTACACCCTGCCCCGGCTGGTGAAGTGCGAGCTGCCCCCCTGCCCCAACGTGGTGGACTGCTTCATCTCCCGGCCCACCGAGAAGAACATCTTCACCCTCTTCATGGTGGTCACCGCCTGCGTCTGCGTCGTGCTGAGCCTCGCCGAGGCCGCCTACCTGATTGGCAAGCGGTGCCGGGAGTGCCTGCAGGCTGGTGGTGGGCAGAGCCGGCGGCACAGCCAGGACTGCCCGCTGCCCTGTGCCGAGCCCGTGGGCACGGTGGGACAGGTTTTCCATGGGGCAGACTACAAACCCCCCACGGCCACCATCCCACCCACGGCGTCCTGCCCCAGCACAGCGTCCGAGGAGGAGGCTCTTTCCTAAAGCTGCCCGGGACAAAGCAGGAGCCTCTCACCTGCCGGGCACCTTCATCCCCCTCTTCCTCCTCCGTCCTCCAGTGCAGGAGCGCTGGTGGGGACAGTGCCTTGGAGCTGGGCTGTGCCTGAGGAGTCTCTGCTTCTCCTGTTCTGGGGAAGACACATGACATCGTCCTGCTGAATTTGGGGTAAACCACGTGCTGTAGGACACGTGCAGTGCCCGAGAGCCACGGGGACCAGCAGCTCTGTGGCAGCTGTGAACTGGCAGCAGTGCCCAGCCTTTGAGCTGGACAGACACCCTGATCCCCCAAGGAACCCATCTCCCTGTCCCTCAGCCTAAATCAGCCACAGTGTGGGTGCCGGGGCCGTCTCAGACTGATGCAATCGTCATTAATAACACTCATTAGCCGAGTGGGGACAAGAGCAGGTCCCTGGTGCCGCAGCCACCGCGGGGAAGCGCAGGCGTGAGGATCCAGCCAGGCAGGCAGCGCCCGCCGTGGGCTGCTGGATCATCCTGCCTGGCCAGAGGAAAACACCCCAGCAAAACAGCTGAGTACAGGAGAGGAAAAACACCCCAACCATTGATTAAACAATAACGTTAAATGGCAGAATCTGATCTCATTTATTGCTGTGATATGTCGCACTGGGCCGTGACGTGAGCGGCGCTGTCCTTTTGGAGGCCATCACCAAGCATTAGCTGGGATGAATAATTCACAATAATTTCATGGCAAATGCACTCGTAAGTAACATTAACATCGAACATGTAGCTCGATCTGTTACTGGTTTCTCTTTATTTAGAGGGTGCGATTATTATTTTTTCCATGAGCAGTGACAGCACTCGCTGGCTCTGCCCCAAAGGAAGCAGCACAGGGAGCAAGGGAACACCATCCCTGTGGCCTTTAGGATCAGGGCCATTCTTGGTGACAGTTCATTGCAGCTACTGCTGCTCCAATGAACCAGCTCCCACTTGGGCAAAGCTGAGCCCCTTCCCACAGCTCACCTTGGGGAAAGGACCAGCTGGATGTGCTGGAGGGGGAGGCAGAGGGACCACTGTGACCAGGGGGATGCTGAGGGGGATGCCAAGGGCAGGCAGGGCTGCAGCACTGCTGGATGGGAGGGCAGGGCCTGAACCAGCCACCCCATAAGGGTGAGGATGGTGGAGAAGCCCTGGGGGCATCCCAGCCATCAGCCCAGAACCCTCTGGGCACAGCTCCTTGTGCTGACACCACCGGGGTTGGAAACCTTTGGGGTGAGAGGCAGATGGTGGAATACAGGTAGGTTTTTTTCCCACCTCCTTCTATGTGAAGCTGTGCTTGGTGTCTGCCTCCCTCCCATCCGCTCCCATTGCTGGATCATCCACCCAAAAGTTTTCTTTCCTGAGGCCTCTCACTCACGCCAGAGAGAACACAAAGTTGTTCTTTGTGTGCGAGCCGTTGCCCCGATTTAAAGAGCATGGGCTGGGCTGTTTGTTTTCCAGCAAGGTTGGCTGCTCCTGCTCCGGGCTGTCCCGTGGGTGAAACCTCGAGGTGTTCCCTGACACTAATGGGGCAGAAGATGAGCCCCAGGAGAACCTCCCTGTCCCACTTCCCCACATCAAAGCACAGCTGGAGCTGCTGCCCCGTTGCGAGAGACCTGAAGATCCAGTTGCTGGGTGTTGTTGTGCAGTTCTGTGGTGCTCAGGGCAGACATTGCAGCTGCTCCACAGAGCTCAGGGTGTCTTGCACCACCCAGGCTTGGGATCAGCCCTAACCAGCCCCACAAACGGGAGTGTTTGGCTGGTTCTTTCTGATGTGTTTCCCCCCGAGCTGCCCCGGTCGTTTCTGCAGAAATGGGGGTCTGGGAGCTGGGACATGTCCTGGGATACAGAGGCAGGACCAGTGTCAGCAAAGCAAATACACTGGGGGGTGTCAAAATAAAAGTTGACTATTTCCCAGATTTTGCATCATCACACAGGGAATCCCCCTGTATGTTCTTGTGGGGTCCCAGAAGAGCCCCTGAATTCAGGGGAGAGGGGATTTGAAAGAAACCCACCACTAACTGCAGCCCAGTGGAGAGGACTGTGTGTGCAGGTCAGGGGTAGCCTGGCCTCCCCAGCCTGGGCTTGTTTCTTCCCTGGCCAAACCCTGCCTCTCCGCTGGGAATTGAGGAGAAACTCTCTGATTTATGTCCAGTGTGCTGGAACAAGTGGCTGCTCCCAGGACCCCGTGACTCCTGTGCCCTGTGCTCGTGGGGGAGCCTCATCCCTGGGGACGTGGCCCTGGAGCAGGACAGCTGGGATGCTGTTGGCAGGCAGGAAGCTGAAATAAAAGGCCTGAGTCCAACCTCCTGTGACGCCCCATTTAAGACTCTTTAAAAGAGACTTGGAGGTTTTTCTGCCACTGCAGTGGCCACCTGCTCCTCTGATTGGGTTTTTCCTTCGAGGAGGATCCAAGGTGGGGCCTCTGGCTGTCACTGGGTGTTTCAGTGTTCACATCTGGCACTGAAGCCTTTCACCCATCACCCCGCTGAGCTGGAGCAGGGTGGCAACGTGGTGACATACCCGGGGCACATACCTGAAGTTCTCACGTGCTGAGAGCTGCTGAACCATGCTGGCACCTTGTCCCTGTGCCCACACTGGACCAGTTGGCAGAGGGGTGGTGGAAGGGGCACAGGGATGTGCCCTTTGCTGGCAAACACCCAGCTCAGCACTGAGAAACACTGCAAAGCACGGGGTGTTTCTGCTCCCCACCCAACTGCCTCAGGGAAATCTGCCCAGGCCAAAAGCACCTGAACTTTCTCACCACGGCCACGTGGCCTCTCCTGAAATTCCAAAATTGCAGGCAAGAGACTACCCAAGGGGGGGTCTGGCCCCCCCGCTCTTACAGGGTTTGGCCTCAGGGCAGGGAGCTGCTGCCTGCACAAGAAATCAGAGCTGCCAGTGGTTCTCTACAACTTCCCTCTCTCCTGGGTTTGTCATCTCGAGGGTCACAGCCCCCAGATTCCTGACAAGCTCTCTGCAACAACATAGCTCAAATTCCTGATCCTGCTGATAGGACAAGGCAGTTCCTGGCTGAGGGAGCTCCCACTTTGCTCTTGTCCAGGATGGGGGTTCCTGTGTCTGCCCCCTCCTCTGGGCTCACCCCACTCTGCACCCCAGGCATCTCCTGGGCTCCCATTCCTGTGTGTCCCCAGCTGGGCAAACCCTCACTTGCTTTATTTGACCTTCTGGAGCCAAGAAACCTCTGGACAAGCGGCTCCTTGTCCGCCAGGAGAGCGGGGAGCAAACCTCTCAGGCACCAAGCACCCAGGGGCTCTTCAGATGTGTCCCATGGGAGGGGTGGCCCTGGCAAGGCTCCCGTGAGGCTCCCTTGCCACTTGTCTCCAGGGCGTGCCAGAGGATGCCGGAAAAGCCTCAGGGCACTCTAAAGACCAGGTGAACCGAAGGCAAGGGGAGGCACATTCCTGCCAAGCTGTGTTGGCAAAGACCTCAAATGGGGCTGCTCTATGGGGCATCCACCTGCTCCAGCAGGATGGGGCTGACTCAGCCTCCTGGGAGCCACCAGTGCTCGGGGAGAGGGACACATTCCAGGTCCCACGGGGGCACAGCTGGAGGCAGCAGCAGGGCAGGGTCCCGCTGCGTGGGGACCCTGCTGCCATCCTGCTGGTTGGGGAAGGTCCCATCAGACCGTCCCGGCCCCGCCAGGGCGGTGGCTGCAAATTCCTGTTGGTTGGAGATACCAGGGAGCTGTTGCAAAACTCTTACTACAGCAAAATCATTTCAGGAGTTGAGTCATCTGTGGTTCTTAGCAACTGGTGCTGGTGGCCCCACAGCTGGGGGCCAGTGCAAGGCCAGTGTCCATCCCTGTCACCCCAGTCCTGCTGCTGGGTCTGCAGTGCCCAGACCACCCTGGTGGGGGTCAGGGCATCACCTGGCAGGAGCTGCTGGTGTTGCACGTGGAGGAATCCGGCCCCTGTTGATGTCCTTTGTTGTTCAACCCGAGCGTGTGTGTGCATGTGCACAGACAAGAACCTCTCCAGGAGCTGTTTGCCAGACTCACCCAGTTACTGGGAACTGAACCAACCACCCTTCCCCTCCCCACACACACTCAGCTCCACAGACAAGCCCTGGGTGTGCAGGAGGGCTGTGGCTGGGAAGGAGCTTCCCAGCTCCGAGATCTGCCTGGATCTGGACACCTTCCTGCGGCTCCTTCCCTGCGGGACAGGTACCTCCAGGGGCACAGGGTGCTGGGGAGTTGCTGGGGACCTCCGGCCATGGGGGACAGACCCCGTGGTGTAACGGGGCACAGTGGGAGCTGTGTTTGGTGTGACGGGGTGCAGGTGGGAGTTGGGTTATGGCTGGGACTGTTGGGCCTGCAGGGGCCAAAAGTGGGGACCTCAACATCACACAGAGCCACGATGGGACCCCCCAGGCCGTGCCAGGGCTGCTCGCCTGGGGGGTGACACAGGGGGATGGCACAGCGTGGCACCCCCCAGGAGCAGGAATGGCCACCCCAGGCCTTGCTCCTCTGTCCCACCACCCTCCTCGTGGACTGAGCCCCCCAGAGACAGTGGCTCTGCTGTGTTTGCACCCCACAGAGGTGGGAGCCGGGCACTTTCGGGTCCAACGCCCCGTGCCCACGCGGGGCAGGACGCGGCAGTGACGCAGCGGGCTGGCATTCCGGGGGCTGGCTGGCGAGGGTGCTGAGCTCTGCGGGAGGCACACGGGCTCTGCCGGCACAGCTGAGCACACCTGAGCGCTGCCCCTGCCCTGCCTGGCACCCAGCCAGCACCGGGGGGAGCTGCGGGGCTCCCAGAGCACAGGGACTGGCACGGGGCTCAGCACGGAGCTTGGCATGGGGGTCAGATCCCCTTCCCACCCTGCTGCAGGTCCATGGCTGGAGCTGGCACTGGGCTGAGCTGGGCAGGTGGGTGCTGGGTGGATTGCTGGCAGGGCACTGGGGGTGGGGGAATGGGTGAATTGGCAGGTGGGGGGGGGGGGGGGGGGGGGGGGGGGGGCAAGGGCCCTGG